ATTATACATGCATTTAAATTTCGTCTTTCAAATGACTCAAAGATGGTAAATTTAATTCTATGAGGTGGAAATATTAAATGTAAAGAGCAAAACTTTAAAAATCTAAAATTTTAAGGGTTAAAATTGTAATTTCAAGCTTCATCCCCCTTACTATACACTCAGGGGGCGTTTGGTTCACGGAATCTTAGATTACCCAGGTAATAAGATTACCTCCAGGAAGGTAATGTGAGATTACAGGAATGTAAGATTACCTTATGTGTTTGATTTGAATTGTGGAATATAATATTACCGTGTTTGGTTAAAGGTTATATTTTAGGTTATATGAATCAATTTACAATAATGTCCTCAATAATATATATATATATATATATATATATATATATATATATATATATATATACATATACATATATTATTTATGTGTGTGTATTTATTTATATGTATGAATGTATATCAATGTTCAAATATTAAAAAACTAAATATATAAATATACACATGTATAATAATAATAATAATAATAATAATAATAATAATAATAATAATATAACATTACCAAGTAATCTCATAACTTGAACCAAACAAGGTAATATAACATTACCAAACTCAGATTACCTAGATAATCAAAGATGACCTGAACCAAACGCCCCCTCAAGGTTAATTATCATATTTGCAGTTTGCTTTAATTTCATTTCTTCCACCATTGTAGCTCATAAACTAAATCAAATCACGACTCCAAATTCCATCGTTTACTCATGAATCCATCATCAGCAGGATTGTTCTTACTGTTCTTCGCGAGGTAGAAACATACAAACAAACATGTAATACAACACGACTACATGTTGAGATTAATTGAAAATTTTGACCATTTTTTATTTTGGTGGTCAAAATTTTTAATGGGCTAAACGTTGTCGGATGTGTTTTCTTAATTTCTCCTATTGATGGTCTTCTTCACTGAAAACATTCGTTTTTATCATTTTAGAGTGGTAAGAAAATCTGATTTTTCATAATTGTTAACTTTTTTTTTTATATATATAATTATGTTATATTGTCTCAGCTCGCAATGAAAGTAAATTGAATGAAAATTATAATTAAAAATGAAATGTGTGACTTAATGCCAGTAAAATTGTGAAACTAAACATGATTAAATTATGGATAGTAGCATGCTTCTACGTTTGGTTTCCTAGTTCGTAGCATGGATAGCTCTTTCATCGCGGCAGCCAACGGTCCCCTCAAGTGCCCTTATGATCCACTCCTAGCTGAAGCCATGACCGTATGTGAGACGCTTTCGTAGCTAAAGGAACACAACTACTCGAATGTCAGAGTCTATTCGAATTGCGGAGTCGTTTTTGTTTCCGGTCTTAGTAATGCCTTTTCATTTTGGTCTTATGTTGGTCTAGTAATCTAGTTTTACTTTCGTGTTTACATTTAATTAATTCTATGTCAGACTATGTAGTTAGTTTTGTTCGTAGGGATGTCAATTTGGTAGCTCATGCTCTTGCTAAACATGTAAGTGCGGTCTCAACACGAACTGTTTAGAGGAATGCTCGTCCACCAGTACCGTTTGTTGATGTTTCTTTAATTTAATACAACCCGCAATTTTTGGCTTAAAAAAACATGATTAAATTAATAATTAAGAATTGAATGTGACGTGAAATTAAAAGTAAAATTTGGTGAAAATGGTGAGATAATGACGAATCCAACATTATATTCCAACTTAACCTATAGTAGTGCCCCTACCGCCCATACATAGGCCATAGACATGATTCTTTATCTTAATAAATATAGCTTTACCAATTCACCAACCTTCTTATTAGGACCGCCCAAGCTTTGCTATAGTGGACACCTACAATTAACCACCTAACTAATTTCTATTTCCTATATCATATAAAACCTCGTTGGGGTTGGCAGTTGGGTAAGACCAATCATTTTTTAATGCAACCTCGTAATATATAGTCATTAATGTGTACTTAGTATCTTATCTGCTACACGTAAGCCGGAATTCAGGCTAGTCCGATCCTGCACCCATTTGTTTTTCCTACACTCATCCAACTTAGTTTCTTCTCCTAAATATTATCCATTGTCCCAATAAATTATTATTATTATAATTCCTTGAATCCCACACCCTCGCTCGACAGAGTATTTGAGAAGATGTAAATTATGTTAACTCAATGGTTCAACAGACAATACCAAATGCAAGTGCGTACAAGGGATCTGTCCACTTTAAACATAATCCCCATATTACCGTTGTTGAGATTTGAACCGTAGTCTCTTCTTCCAAATACTGCACACTGAGCTAATGAACTAAGTTTGTACGGTCAAAATCCACTTAACTTTATATGAGAGAATTGTCCGTAAATCATGTTGTATTAAAATTCAAAATCAACGTTTTTCGAATCTAATTACAATTCATTGATAAGGTTTCAAAAACTATAAGCTTTTTATTTTGTAATCAAATTTTAATATATACAGGTATAATATGGGTTTGGTAAAATCTTTGATTAGTTATGAATATTGGAAAATGATAGCTAGCCTAGCTATTACACGTGTACCTACATCAAGAGAGAGTGAAAATCACAGCAGTCTCAATGATGAAACTACCGCATATAATATAATAATTAAATTAAACAAGATATATAAGGTTACGTGTGGCATTCATTGATTGAAATTGAATCCATCCCAGTCAGTATGTAAGAGGGCCGGCCTTTTGTACCTTCCACTTTGTTTTCCTTGTACCTTACTGAAATGTTATGGAATTGCAGTTAGTTCGTTCTTATGATTTCCCAATTAAATATTTTTTAAGGTTTTTTTTTTCCCACTTTGCAAAGTGGAATTGCAATTAGTTATGATGGTTTCTCAACCTTTTATATATATATATATATATATATATATATGTGTGTGTGTGTGTGTGTTTAGCTTTTGTCCCACTTAACTTGCTTTAAGTTAACATTCTCATTGACAATCATAGCTTCATCTATTCGATCTCTTTGGTAGATGATTATGGATTTGTTGAACTCACAGACACTAGAATAAGTGCATATATAAAAGATGTTATATATGAAGTAAACTAATACTATACGAGACTGTGTATATATGATTTGTTAATATTATTAACTTAGGTATTTGATTGATCTCTAAGTATAATTATGAGTAGCTAAAGCATGTTGTAACGTCTCTATGCACCTGTTATAGTCAGATTCGCCTACCAAACTAAGGGGCACCTCTCTTAAGAAATGAGAGCGCACGGCCACTCACACTAATCAAGTTGGTTAGAATATATTATACTTGATGTAAGCTTCATGAGTTCATGGGGTAGTTTAGTGGAATGTGTCATCAGGCAATGTGCTTTTCATTTGTGTGTAGACAATTAAGGTTTGTTTGGATTGGGTCATGCCATGCTAAACTAGGCCTTGCCATATTGGGTTAAATACCTCTTTTGTGGGTTATGATGTTTTAGGGTGCACTTAGAAAAGTGATTGGCGAAATTCAACACCGCAAATTATGTTGTGCAACCGAATGCACCATGCGCATGATGCATACGATGCAAAACGACGTCGTTTTGGTTAAAAAACGTGCGTCACACTTAAAAAAGAAATCAGGTTGGATTTCCGGCAATAGCCTTTTTATATATCCATAAATTCATAACTATATATCCACATTGAATGAATGATGTAAAAATCCACAATGAATGAACTAAATATCCACAATGATTGAACTAAATATCCACAATGAATGAACTAAATATCCAGTTCATAACTATATATCCAGAAATTCATAACTATATATCCATAAATTCATAACTATATATCCTCAATGAATGAATGAAGTAAATATCTATAATGAATGAACTAAATATCCACAATAAATGAACTAAATATCCATAAATTCATAACTATATATCCAGAAATTCATAACTATATATCCACAATAATGCTATTGCCGAGAATCGAACCTGATTTTTTTTTTTAAGTGGGACGTGCATTTTTAGTCAAAACGACGTCGTTTTGCATCATATGCACCATGCGCATGGTGCATTCGGTTGCACAGCATAACTACTGATTCAACACTTTAATCGTAAAAAGTAACTAAAGAACTAAAATTTAGAAGGAATAAGGGTCAAATAGGGCCATCGAACTGCACACAATAATGCAATTAGGTGACTGAACTTAAAAAATCATCAATTAGGTCCCTAAACTAATCAATTTTATGCAATTAGTTCAATTTACAGATTAATAACATGTCATTCAAAATTTAAAATATTTTTTTTTAAAATTATTATTTAAAAGATTAATTTAAAATCAAAAAAAAAAAACCTCTGTCGTCTCCTCTTCGTCTCTGGCCATGGAGACGAAGAGTCTCTTTGTCTCCGGCCATGAGACTTTTTTTTAATTATTATTTAAAAAAAAAATTTAAATTTTGGATGTCCTGTTACTAACCTACAAAACTTGTAAATTGAATTAATTGCATAAAATTGTTTAGTTTAGGAATCCAATTGTTTTTTTTTTCTTTTTTTAGATTCAGCGGTTAATTGTATTGTTATGTGCAATTGGATGACCTATTTGCCTCTTATTCCAATTTAGAATGAAGGATTAGATTACACCAATAACAATGTCACTACTTTCCCAAAAAGAGCCTTAGTGGACTAAACTTGGTGAAGCCATTACACCCCCAACAGGTTATTTAAAATCCTACTACCTACCCCTTCACTATCACTTCATGCCCTAAAGTCACATGATCATTATCATCACATCATTTAATACAATATTGCATGAAGACAGGTTTAAAATTATTAAATACAGTAAGCTATAAGCATTGTGCCACTTCATATTTCATATAATAATCTTCAGAATAGTGCTCTTAACAAGCAAATAAAACTCAGGATATGGTCATACAATTTTCATCATGCATCCAGAATTTGGGATAACCTAGGATACTTCAAAAAAAAAAAAAAAAAAAAAAAAAAAAAAAAAAAAAAAAACCAACTAGGAAATTAGAGCAAAACCTTTTCCAAATCGGGTACAAATTAAATTACAAACTAGATGTTCAGGAGTGACACTAAAATTAAATTATCATAGCTACTACTCTGATCTTGAGAACTGAAGACAGGTTGATGCCAAACATAGATTCATGAAACTCACATAAAAAAAAAAAGAAAAGTTTGCCAAAAAAAACACGAGGGAATGGAAGAAATCTAATGTCAAAGAAACTGATAAGAGGCAAATACAAATTAAACACAAAAGTTAACAACAGATCAGAATTGTGTTAATTAGTTATGCCTTCTGGACTGAAAAGTTAAGAATGAAGTCTTTGATTTCCTCATTAGCTCTATCAAGTGCAGTACGGCCATCTGCATCCTTCACAGTATAATCAGCACCGGCTCTTAGTAACTCTTCGATTTTAGGCTTGTCGCCTTCAGAGGCAGCCATGAGGAGTAAAATGTCGACTGGGTGAATATTTTGGCTCAAAAGAGCTTCCATCTTATCATATGAACCCTCAACAGCAAGCATGCCCATATAGTTGAAGTACTGCAATTTTCAAAGTTAGTTCATATTAATAGATTGATCCATTGTAAATTAAAGTTGAAACAATAAATATTAATGTAAACATTTGATGTTTAACACACAAAAACAATAACAACATGAATCCATTTTCTGAGTGTCAACGAAACTTGCAGCTACTATCTGATGGTGTGCACAGGTACCCCACCATATAACCTTAGCAGGGCAAGGAAAGTAAACCAACTTAAACTGTCTAGGTACCCCACCATATAACCTTAGCAGGGCAAGGAAAGTAAACCAACTACCCCACCATAAAGTAAACCAACTTAAACTGTCTATAGCTAACTAACTTAATCGGTCTATAGCTAACTGATTCAAATCAAGAAGGTTTAATATGCTGTTCTCACTAAGAATCGAACTTGTAACCTTGTGGTTACAAAACATACAGTCTGACCAACTTAACTACGTTGCCCATTTTCACTATCGTAGTGGCTTATCGTGTGACGTAGAGATTCGAACCCCATGATCTTTGGTCTGGTTCTGAAACCAAATTGAAGCATGTGTTCCAAAGCCTAAGCTGACTATATGCTCAACATCCAATAGTACACACAAGATAACACTAACATGATTTGATGAAATCTACCCACTCTTCCAAGACTCAAAACATTTCCAATATCAATCAAGAACAGGATAGCTAATAATTACACATTCAAGAGAGAAAAGGGGAGCTACTATACCTGTTCAACATCATCTCGGTCAAAATCGTTTCGGGATTGGCTACCATAAATGCCGGCACCTTCAGCATCGACGCCATTTTTGCCGAACCTGAACCAACAGGTTGTTCTTGAACCACAGCCGGGCCCAAGTCCGGAGGGCCTGCACCATCCTAGTCTCTTCGCTCGTACGCCACCCACGAACCGAGATTTGAGGTTTGGGAGAGACGGAGAAGAAGAAGAAAGAGTGGGTCTTGAAGGTACTACTCTCAGTTGGATAGCACTTGAAATCGTGGCCATGGTTCAGTTTGGGATGCTCGTCCAAACACGAGAATCACAAACGGGCCTTATCTTCACAGCTATCTACACAAATATAATTGCTTAAGTAAAGAAATTTACAATACTTACACAACAAATCAGAGTGGCGCAGCGGAAGCGTGGTGGGCCCATAACCCACAGGTCCCAGGATCGAAACCTGGCTCTGATAGAGAAGCTTCCTCCTCTGTGGCACTTAAAACTTTTTATATTAAGCCCAGAAACAAAAACTCTTTTTGGCCCATAAATAGACAAAGTTGATAAATGATAATTCAAAAAAAACTCTGTTGGGAACCAGACATCTTAATTAACTTCATATGCAATTTAGAGTCTATATGAAAATTTGCAAGAGAGTAATTTGAAATATATAATATTCATTTTTAATATATTGAATGTTCATTATTTGTACATTGAAACTACCAAATAATGAACCTTCAGTATTAAAAATGAACATTTATTCATGGTCTACCTTGCAATATGGACCATGGTTCACAGTATAATTTGCACCTACCTATAAACACTTACAACCCATTTGGTTCGTGAAAAATATTTGAAGATGAATGAAATTGAAATTCAATGAGAAATGAATTACCAGGAAGATTAATTACATTGTTTAGTTTGTAGAAAATAAATTACTGGGAATGTTGATTATATTGTCTGGTTGAGTTTGGGATTCTAAGGAATAATGAGTGTCAATATACCCTACATAATAATAATAATAATAATAATAATAATAATAATAATAATAATAATAATAATAATAATAATAATAATAAAGAAAAATCAATGAGTATCAAGTTTCTTCCTAGATCAGTGAACAAGCTCGTCCATGCATTAGTTAGGGATGTTCGTTTTCAAACTGGTCCTTATTCTTGGATTACTTCATTACCTCCATGTATTGAACAATTGCTTTAATAAATTTATGGTTTTTTCAAAAAAAAAAAAAACAAAAAATATAAGAAATAAATGAGAGTAAAATTGTCCTACTAATTTTTCATGAAAAAACAAAATACCAAATGTGAGTTAAGGAAAACTTTTTTCGGGTAAAAAATATTTTTTCATGAACCAAATAAAGAAAAGAGTAAATACCCAAAATGGTCCCTCGACTATAGCTAAATTCACAAATTGGTCCTCGACTTTTAATTTCAACCAATTAAGTCCTTAACTTTGCAATTTTAACACAATTTGGTCCTTTGTCTATTTGACCGTTTGTTGACTGCGCTTTTTAGGATATATATGTAATTTCATGGTCCATCGTCGATTTTTTAAGGTTCCGGTTGCATTTCTAGACCGCACTGTTACATTTGAATTCACTGCCGGCGTTGTACCCCATGCCAGATATATTATAGCTTTTGATAGATAGATCGCCGAAATCCCTGGAGTGGCTCTTCGAGAAAGCCTGACTCCAAGCGATGTAGGCAAGCTGAACCGGCTCGGGATCCCCAAGTAGCAAGTAGAGAAGCACTTCCCCCCTCCGAAACGGCGTTGTCACCTCCAAGAGCGCTCTCTAAGCTCAAATTTAAAGAAAACTTTTTTCTTGAAAAAAAAAAATTCCATCCAACCAAACATATCTTAGACTTGAAAAATAATCACTCACACAACTCTTTTGGACCACAAATACTAAGAATAAACTAAACTCTTTTTGGCCCATAAATACATGGAGTTAAATGATAATTCAAAAAACTTTGCAGGAAAGTGGTAGGGCTTTATGAGGCAAATTATTCTATCAACTCGAGTCCACCTCACATACCGAATGTTCACAATTTAAAAAAAATAAATAAATAAATAAATTGTAAATATTAAGTATGCAAATTGTGTATTTTGGATCCGGTCTACCGTGCAAGGTGAACCCAGGTTTATGATATAACTATTGGGTTTATGACTTTAAATTAGTACATTAAAAAGTTTGATTCTCAACCTTTCTAGTCTTCTAGATGTACCAAAATGATGTTTAAATATCTCCATGGGTCAATTTACACCCAACATAAATTTGTTAATCCAACAATCAAGTTACTCTTTTGGGGGGGGGGGGGGGGGGTCATAAAAATGACAGCAAGTAAATGGTTCTTTTAAAAACCATCAAACTGGAATCATGTTACTAGATAAGGTAATGCATCTATTACTTGTACCAAAAAGCAAGCAATGCATGTGGTCCATGAATAAAAAACCAAACCAAAATTTAAGAATCTGAATCCACCAGGCAGTTAGAAAGATGGTACAGGAGCTAATCAACTTTAATGTTTTTAACTGCAAACACATGAATAGAGTGACCACACCACCACCCAGTCTTCCATCAAAGGAAAGAGCCAATAGGCAATAGCCCCCCATGCTTTCCACTCTGTTACATAAAATATTCATGTGAAAACAACACTACCTATTAGGCCTAACCATAGTGACCCTTTCTCCCTTTGGTGTATAAATTTGATGCCCATATGCCCATACCATTCATTATACATTATCCCCAAGAAAAAATGGCTGCAAAGTCTGCTCGGATCGCGCTGGTTGAGATTGGCAGCAGAGGCACGGTTGGGTCCCTCGTGTTGCGAGAAATGGAGTATTTCAGTAGACTGGAACTAGGCCCCCACAACAACTCTTGCTGTCATTTTACGGATGTGGATTCTACAAGTGGCATTTCGAAGCCAAAGATTGGATCTTTGGCTGCAAACCCGAAAAAGAAGAAGAGAGGGTGCAAGAAGTTCTTGCCTAGCATGTGTTCTATGGTGGAGGTTGTAGAGAGCAATAATCGTCCAAGGGCCACGGTTTCTGGATTCACTTACAAAAACCTCAAGGCTGATGTTAAAGAGTTACGGGCTTAGCTTAGACCGGGCTGTCATCGTCTGAGAGCTTTGAGAAGCCAAGCTTCTTGATTCTGTTCTTGATGGGATTTCCCCATGCCTTCTCAACACTCCCACATTTTATGTCCACAATTTCCACCATGTAAGCCCCTTTTTTTTCCACTTTCTGCCTTACTGGTGTTGTTCCATCCACAGAAGAGACTTCTAATATAGGAATTTGATGAGTTCTCCTATGGTAGTTCTTCGTCGTCTTGCAAACCGTTTCATCATTTCTAGCACTGCTGCTCGCTTCATCTGATGACACCGTTCTTGATTTGAGGCGTTTAGGACTTGTAGCATCACCAACGACGAAAGCACAGACCGAAGGGGGCTTGTTTCGACTTGTTTCTGGTGTCTGAGAAGCAGGTTTTATCGAATCCAATTCTCTTGACATCAGGGCACTGATTGTACCAGTGGTTCCCACCCTTATGGACCCTCCACCACCCTTGATTTCCTCTAATGTTTGAACCATTTTCTTTCAATGTTTCCACCCAACAGAATCTGTATCAATCTAGTTTCTTTCTGACCTGTGAACACAGCAGTATATGGATTAGATGTTTGTGGCTAAAGGCTATTTGTAATTTGTATGCATACCTAACAAATTCATTCTTATTTTCTCAACTAGAGATGTAAGGATCGACGAGCAGAGGGGGTCAGAACTGTCAACCAATATGTCACTTAATACAGTAGCTGATTTGGTCCTTCAGATACTAAAATCATCATTTTGCACATAAAGATATTACGGGTATAACTTAAAGATTAAGTTTGTACAACGAGTATAATTGGAGAATCAAAAATGCAATTTTCACAATAAACAGTATCATAAGTACAACATGAAGTGATCAAGAGTGGGCATTGGACAAATTCACTCATAAGTTCTATTGAGATTCATTATTATGCCTTTATTATGCTTTTATTATTTCCTTTGTCTATTCAAGTTCTTGTGTCCGTCAGTATCCCTATGCTCTATTAGTATTCCCTCTTCTGCCTATATATTGTAGTCTATGTATTTGCTTGTTTAGACAGTGTAAATAACAATACAATATTTTCTTCTTCAACTCTTTCAACAAGTTCAACCACCCCTTCCCCCAATCCAACCCACCTACCAAATTCCAAGGGGGGTGGATGAACTCTAGAGACAAAAGATTGGCCTTTAGTCTATAGGAAAACCAAAAAACCCCCTCCCACTAAATGCATGATATTCAATACTCCTTGAAGTGTTGTACCCACTACCCACCTGCCAACTCCATGAAAGTCACCACCCAAAAAGAACAAATTTAGGATAATGGCAAGTGAGAAACCAGAAAAATGCAAATGGTATTGAAAAGCAAAAAGTTAAACCTTCCTTTTTCTTTACAAACTTTAGCACTAACAGCATATATACCACAACCCAACTATGCTTGCTGACTGTTCAGAGACAAGAAACACCATATGCCATCAAAAAGTAGCAAATAAAGATAGGCAAAGGGGCAAATCAGCAGGAACCTTGAAACATTTTTGAATTCACCCATAAAATTTAAAGATTCACTTACCCATACTATGAAAACAACCCATAAACTTTAAAGATTGCAACTTTCATAAGAAAACCTTCAAAATGTAACAGATCTAGACTAAATGCAATCAAGATTGAAATAAGGAATTTACCAACAATGGCAGCTCTGTTGCCTCTTTTAGAGGTGTCAACAGACACCCAGATTGTCCAACCCTTCTACCCAGAAAGCACAAAAGATTCCAAAAAAAAACCAGAGAATAAGGTGAGAGGGCCACAACTCTTTCACTACTCACTGGTATTATAAAGATGATGATGTCACTTTCAAGAAATCTACTACTTGGTGCATCAATCTCTATATGGGTAAGTTTTGTTTTTGCCCCATTTTTCAAAAAGGTTTGTGTCTCTCTATGTATCTTGGTATCTCATATCAGTCAACGTTGTACAGACGCCTAGGCAAGATCTGACAAGAATCACCACATTTATGAATCAAAAAATTCAAAATCAAAGATTCTTCTCAATGTATTTTTCATTAATTATGTTGTCAAGATTTTTTAGTGTGATTTTTTTGGTATATTTTAAATTTTATTGTACATGAACAAATTTATTTAATGACGATTATCAGACTATGTATTTTCTAGACAAACAAAAATTCAAAATCAAATATATTAAGCATTTTAGCTCTCTAGTCTCTATCTCCATTAATCCATTGCCGCCCAAGGTGTTTAGTATTTTAAATATTTCATTTTTGTACATTTTCTTGGTTCTTTTGACATCAACTTTCTTTTTAATTTTTTTTTATAATATATGGAAAGTACCTCAATTTTAGAGACTATTGATTGATTGGATAGTGTTGGGTCGTTGGGAATTAATTTTGGAAAAAAGTTCAATCATTTTCCCACCATTTTATCATTGTCGAGTTCCTGTACGGATTTTGAATTGTTATTTAAAGAAGGGAAAATGGTCAAATAGGCACTTGAACTTTAACTTAAAAGTTAATTAGGCCCTTAAACTTTTTAAAGGTGTAATTACACTCATCAATAATTCATTTAGGTGCAATGAAGTCCAAAAACAAATTAATGACCTGCTATCACAAGTCATTAAGGTTCAGGCCACCTTCATTGCAGTAGTATGGATTACTTCATTACCTCCAAAATTTAAGGTTCGGTACCAGTAAGAATGAGAACTGAACGGGGAGCAAGCATCAAGGAACTTGGATTTACTTCTTTATTATTATTATTGTTATTATTATTATTATTATTATTATTATTAATTTATTATTATTATTTATTAAAAAAATTATACAACATTCGGTTCGGTTCGGTTCGATTTTTGCCAAACCGTTTGGTTTCGGTTTGGTTCGGTACTAAACCATTCGGGTTACAAAATCTCGAACCATTCAGTTTTCTATTACTAGTTCAGTTCGGATCGGATCGGTTCGGTTCGGTTTGGATAAACCGAACCGAAGTGCCCACCCCTAGGATTAGTAATGCAATTTCATTTCTTATTTCTTTGTTCGGATTTTAATACTCGATATCTAAACCAATTTTATATTCGAATATATCAAAATTTAAAATATTTGAACCAATAACTATTAAGGTTTACCTAAAATTTAAAATACGACTCGGATTTCGAGTGTTAGTTCGGATAATCCGAATTACGCTCACCCCTACTTTGACTATTGATTTTGCTTCAAATTTTGTCCTTTGGTTAAATATTTGCCTAATAGGCATTAAATTTAAAGGTAAAAAATGTTTTGTTACTGAGATGAGCAAATTGAGTTCATAAACTTCATACTCTAGGTTCATTATTAGTGGGAATGTCAAGAGCACGTTGATGCATAATAAGCAAATATGGACTAGACTATTGATTAGTCTCTACTCCAAATTTGAGGTGATTATATTCTTTGTTTCAACACCCTTAACTATGCAAATCTGAAGAGGCAATTCTAGTTTTTATCTTTAAATTTAACGCCTATTAAACAAATATTTAATTAAATGACCAAATCTAGAACAAAATCAATAATCAAGGTCAAATTAAGAGTCGAAGATAAAAATTGATGAATGTCAATAATCAATAAACTATTCTTAGAATTAACTCTTAGAAAAAAAAAAAAAAAGTATAATAGATGGCAATAGACAATGATTTTTGCTACTAAATAGCAATGTTGAAGTGCAAAAGGGACCAAAATCTACTTTAACCTTATAACCAAATGTTTATAATAACCCTGATGAAGATTAAAGATTACAGCATATCACATAAATTCATGTTTTACATTCCCTCTATCATACATATATATACATCACCATTTGCTGGCACACCTCGTCGTGGTTACATGGGAAAAACGCCAGGAATTTGAGAAGCTAATACCAAAAGGGACCTTTCAATGCACTTAGGAGTGTGAAGGAAGGAGAGAGGTTAGTAAAAGATCTCCCTGTTCATGTTATGATAACCAAATCTGTTCTCTACTTGGCAGAATACCAGTTTTGAGCACATTTCGCATCAACTGATAGCCCAACTCTCAGAAAATTCTTCCCATCAAACGGATTGGACATGCAGTGAACTACAATAGCCTTGGCTTCCTCGGCTGACTCTGTTGGCCCTTCAAGAATTACTTCATCGTGAACCTACTCGCAATACCAAAACGACAAACTTCATTCTTATTTCCCGAATCGAGGAAGTTTATGGGGGATTTTCGTTCTTTAAAAGGGGAGGGATGGAATGGTTGAAGTAATTAAATGAAATAACCTGTAAAAGCAATTTCCAGCCAAGCTCCTTTAATCGTGGGTTCTTTGATATTTCGAGCATGGCGCACATTGCAACATCTGCAGCACTTCCCTGTTGAAGAGACAATGCATGTTACTTCACTACTTTCCCTAAACACATGCATGCATACGATTTCTCCGGCCCCAAGAAATATGTGCACAGAATAAATCCTACTTGGGTTGGGAACAAAAAAACAGAAGCAAACAGGAAGAAAGGGACATTAACACAAAGACCTGCACTGGAGTATTGATGGCAGCTCGTTCAATGTGGCCTTTCAGAAAGCTGCTTGCTTTTTTCAGTGAAGGGAACCAGCGTGCTCGTCCTAAGAGTGTGTAAACACATCCAAATTGATGTGCTTCAGATTTACGTTGTTCTTGCCAAGATAATACTTCCTTTCTGTCACTATACCAGCGATCAACTGTTTCTTTGGCTTCCTTCACAGATACCTGTTTGTGAATGTGCGATTGGTGATTATCCAGTAACACGAACCAAATAAAGCACAAAATCCACTCCTCCCTTTTGTTCTAAACAAGCAAGGTTACCTTCCAATCCCGAGCAAGCCCCACTGTAGTTTTTCCATATGCAATGGAAAAATTAAGCATCTTCGCTTTCCTTCTTTCAGAGGCAAAAGCATCCTATACCAAAAAATATATAATTTTGTTAATAAAAGAAAACCATAATGGTACTTGTATCAAAACTCTGTACATAATGCAATGCAAAATAGTCAAGGAGTAAAATACAAGTCAAAAACAATCACTCCTATTTCCCCCTGAATGTTATTTCCTCCATCCCATTTTTATTGGCCCATTACTACTCGGCTAAAATATTCCTAAAGTACCCTCAGTTGTTTAAACACCTTGTAGCATTGGGAAAGTTGGCATCATATGTCCTTTGGAAATTTTGGAAGTGGACATTTTCTTACGGACCAATAAAAATGGAAATGTGGCCAATAAACCAGGCCAGAGGAAGTATCATATCTCAGTCATCTCAGAATATATGTACTTTCCTCAGACCAGATATTTTTTTACATTGTTCATTCTTCTCGAGTATCATAACCAACATCAGTAGTAACTAGTAAGTACATATTACATTCTTCTTGTCATACTATCAACATTATATTCCACATTGATATCCAGCAACTTTAAGGTTAACTGCTTATATTATAAATATAGTACCCTATCAGCCCAAAAGAGGGAAAAGGCAGATACTCAACCAACATGAGACATCATGCCACATGCTTTAAGGAACTACCCATAGAAAAGACAAGAATAGAAAATTACGCTGCCTGAAAGACAAATCAACCAACAGACTATTTGCACCAAACCTTTAATAAAGGAACTGGTGGCTTGTCTTCACCAGGCTGAGGGTCCCACTCTAGGAGAACACGCTTTTGTTCAATTGCTTCTCGTATGTGTGGATACATGTTTAAAGCAGTCCTTGAATGAAAGTCTCCACCAGCTTCAAAGGCAGCCAGCATGCTCTTACAATTTGCAAGGTGTGCAAGAATCCTAAGTTCCAACTAATCAACAAAGGAAAACAAACATTAGTGAGACACCACGACAGGAATTATTATACTAATAAAAACAGTTGGAAAGTCAAAATCACCTGCCCATAATCAGCAACAATTAAGGAATTCCCAGGTGCAGCGATGAATGCCTGACGAATTTTATACCTGTCTTTTTCTAAAGCAGGCTGGTTCTGCATCACAGGAAAATATATTTTAGCAGTTACAAACCTAGAGTCAAATGAAAATAGATAACTACAAAATGCTACCATGTAGGTATAAACCTAACAGATTGCATGTACTGGCCCAAAATATGGCAGATGATAGTCAAGAGAAGTTCATGTTTATTTGAAACTCACGCTATATTTTGGTATTATTGAGCTATGGAATACAAAATATTGCCAACACACAAAAAAAATAAAATAATAATAATAATAATACCACATCATCTAAGTCTTAATTGCATCAAGCTGTAGGATTTTTAGATTTCATTCCAAAGAGTTTTTTTTTTTTTTTTTTTTTTTTTTGAGTACTACTGACTCTATTACAATGTAGCATATGTCCATACATACTTTCTCAACCTATTGAAGCACAAAGAGTCAATGCCCCTACTGGGTTTCAAACCTGTGACCTCCCATTTGGTAGAGCCACAGAGGTGCCATTGAGCTACAAGCTACTTGGCAAATGACATCATTTCAAGTGCCAAATGCATAATCATGATGATATTCAAGAACACCACCTAAAATAGTAATCTCAGAAAGATATGAATCATATGTAGGAAAAACCTGCAAATTTGGCCTCCTTGCTGACAAGCGCCCAGTTTCAGTATTTATATTAAGTGAACAATGGATGCGTCCATTCTTGCCTGATATCTCACCGCCCTAGGAGACAGGAAACAACATCAAAATTAAATGCTTCAGGCTATAGAATCAGACACTGAAACATCAAAAGTCAATATTACACAGGAAAGAGGTACTCATTAGCACAACCAACAAAATTTGGAGAATCTTTGGTGAATTAGTATTAGGAGTTCAATGTTTGTATCTCTACTTAAGATAATTAATTATCTGTAATGAACCAAAAGTGTTGCGCCCAATGCTTCGTCATATATATATATGTCATGTTTTATGAACCTCTATGTATGAGATGAAGTAAAATAGAAATGGAGGCCATATTAAGGAATATTATATAAATTAACACTTAGTCGTTTCCTCTTGAAATTGTTCTACATGCAAAGATTAAGTTTGAACTAGTGGCCAAGTGCTCACCCCTTGGTCTCCATCCCATACACTCAACCCCTCTTGGAAAGCCTTGTGCATTGGGTCCAACATTTTTAAGAACTATATGAAATGTCTTAGAAAAACAATAATTGTATATGAAGTTGATTAAGTCAAAAACAATACACTCAAGCATCCTAGTATATGATAATTTAGGCGAAACTTCATTTAGCCTTCTAATTTAGAAATGCCAAAGTAAATCACCTGCAAAGGAAGGATGAAGTTTGAAATTAGAGAGTCTATAGAGCAAATTTCACATAAAGAGGCAATGGCATGACAGGCCTCAATTCCTACTTTTCCACCCCCAAATGCCTTGTAAGCTGTTCCATACCCTGAAGCCTCTGGCTCTGTACAGGGTGCTTCATTATTAGCCACAGACGGCTCATCAGAGCTTGAAGCAGACACTTCTTCCACATTGTCATCTGCTTCACTAATGATTTCAAAATCAGCAGAAATTTTCCCAGCAAGAGCCTTTAAAGCATCTCCACTAACAGATGGCCAGCCACTAGCAGTGTACAAATCAGTCTCGATGCGGTCACCAATCTTATGAAGAGTGATCTTACGAAATTTTGATGGAGCCTTCTTGCCTTCTTCAATTATATTCTCAACGTTGGGAACTTTGAAATCCCTCTTATTTTCAAGACTCTCATTAGGGTCCTTTCTGCATGCAAAAGAAAGGAAATCAAATGTAAAAGGGACATGAAGATTCAGGAAAAGAAGAAATGTGCAAAATATCCAAAGTGATTACAGAGTAAAATTAACACAAAAATAGAAGAGAAAAAATTTTCTTTTTATGAACAGATATATTTTAAAGAAACCCCATACCTGTTCAGAGTGCCCCCAAAAAAGAGCTGACGCAGCTGTGCATCACTACCCACATTCATGTATTTTGCATCAGGGCAGTGCTTAGATGCCCAGTTGCGAAACCTGTTAGAAGCAATCTCCTGCTCCGCTTTAGCCACTTTCTCCAACTCAGCAAGATAGGCACGATCAACCAGCATGCCCTCAGTTTCCATATGAACTAGAAGCTCACCAAATGGAAGCCAGTATCTCTCATAAAAGTTAAGCATGTTCCCTTTATAAAATCCATCAAGCTTCCAGACCCTGTTAGTGAGTTTAGTTTTCAAACTTTCATAAAGCATCAACGTGCTTATGGAATCTAAGGCTGAGTAACAAATCCATGATTTGCGCTCCACTCTTTGCAGCTCTTCAACAGAAGGAATGATGTCTACTTTACCCTCTGTCCCATCTTTCTTCAGCTTTTTTCTGCCAAATATAGTTTTCATTGACACTTTACCTAACAGCTCTTCACCAGGGGACACTCTTGCATCACACATGACAAAGTGATCACCTGTAAGTGCCTCAAGGGAATAGCCTCCCTCTGTTCGTCTAGAGGAATCCCATAATCGAGCCATGTGCATTGTATCAGCATGAAACCCAGAAACTTTAAATCCATAGTTCTCTATGATGTGGCAATCAAAGCTATAGTTGTGCCATACCTACAGAAAGCATGGGGTATTTTATCATATAACTGCTAAAGGTGCAATATGGATAAAGGATTCTCCTACCACCTCTATGGATTTACCTTTTTAATTGATGGGTCTTCAAAAAATGGAGCGAATTCTACTAAAATATCCTTCCCACCACCATCAAGGACATCTACCCAGACACAAGATTTTCCATTTCCAAAATCAGCATCAGGTCCAGAATAAATGCTGAAGCATGTAATTTCTCCATGACCAACTGGTGTTTCTTGCTTAACATTAATCTTGGCTACCTATTAATTGTTAGTAAACAGATGAATAAGTTCAGAAATGGGTATAAATTATTATTTTCATTTTGTAAGTGGTTCAAAACATAAATAACTACACATAAAGTACAGCTTTTATTTCCTTCATATATGTATGTGTATAAAAACATTGATGTAAATTAAGCAGAAGACATGCCTCTGTATCACATGCATGGATGAAATCCCTGAAATCATTTGTAAGCTTACTGACTACTTCCTTGGCCACTGAGATGTTGTCAACTATGAAAACTTTGTCATAGATGGACTCCAGCCTCTCACGGATGTTGTCCTGGGTAATACTCTTTTCTGGGGCAGTACATTTTGCAAGCTTAGTCTGGTTCAGAGTACTACTTTCAACAAAATCAGAAACATCCCTTTCCATTTGCTTAATTGGAATGTCGTCATCTAGCTTAAAAGTTTTCTCAGCCTTCTTTTCATTGGTTTTGTTTGGCAATAACCCAATAGGTTGAGTATCATTTGGCAAAAGGTGATCTAGAGATAATGTTGAACCACCAACCCTATCGATTGACCTCAGTTCATTGCTTCTTGGTTGGCTCACATGTACTGATGATTGTGGAAGATGGTGTCTAAATTGTACAATTTTAGGAGCTTTCTGCTGTCCGCTACTAGAGTTATAATGTGGTTTGGGTCCATAAGTGGCATGTTCAAGTATCAGACTTCCCTTTGCATTCCTAATTACACCATACCTTTTATCTTTAGCACTGTTATTACTACTGTCAATGTACCTGTATTCATCAAAATAGGCAACATTATTGAAACTACCATTGCGTCTTCTGTCTTGTCTAATTGCTTCGGCCTCAGCTCCCCAAGCAGAGCGGGCTGCCACATAATCTTCCTCAATTCTCTGTGCAATTCCAGAAGAGAAGGGTTTTATTTCATGCCTTAGTGTACGTTTAATCTGACAGGAATCACCAAGTATGGATAAGCTAGATAAGGCATTATCCGCACTCAGGGTTTTGCAATCTTCTCCCCTGCAAATCATGGTCAATTTGTAACAAGGAAAGGGAACTTCAGTATTGACATGTTCAAGATCAAATTGCACAAGCCACAAGGCTTCCAACCACCCCCAGCTGAATTAGATAAGCAAAATGCTAAAAGAGTGCGTTCATTATGTCAAAAGTGGCAATATGGTAGCTGCATCAACAACAATGTGTATGAAGCAGTCATTTCCCTTCTTTCTAATAGGAAAATGGATGTCTTTCAAGAAGTTGATATTTCATAACTGATTAAGTACATTTTCACATGATCAGAACTTGAATTTTTAAGTACCCATTTGCCACCAATTGAAGCATAACAAAGAACTTTTTGTTCTGTTCTTATCCTTCTCTTGAAAATGAATTTGGCAGTAAATTTGCACAATGCACATTATTAAATTCTCAAATTTTAAATTTATCAGCCATCCACATTCCCAAATTAAGAGCACACATACACAAATAAAGACTCAGAAGTGCAAAATACAAAACAAGACAAAAATAATAATAATTACAATATCACTGAATAAAAGTGCAATTAGGTTACCAGAATTTCCAGAAAAAGATACCATCAGTCATCTACATTCCCAAACTAAGAGCATGTATAGAGAAATAACACACTAAAAAGTGTTAAACCCAGACAAGAAAAGTGCAATAAGGTATCAAAATTGGCAGAAAAAAAAGATACCAAATGCTTTCTCCTTCTCACAGACATTTGGTATACAACAACACTAAAAGCGAGACACATTCTTGAATTTTCTCTTCTTTTTTTTTTTTTTAAACCAAGTTACCTTATCCATATATGAAAACAAAATAAATAAATAAAAGGTCCGAAATGAGTTGAAACCAAGTTTTAGATGAACATAGAAGAGCAAAATTAATGCATTAAGGAATTAACCGAACCTGTGACAGGCTTTTGGCGAGCAGGAAAACCAAAAGGAGTGAGAAGTAGAGAAAGAGCGAGGGCAAAGCCAGAAGTATCTATTAGGGGCAAAAGAGGAACGTTTGACAGGGGTGGCGGTCTGGGTGGAGAAGCTCACTACTGCCATGGCCTCGGAGGCTGCTCGGCCTACAAGCTTCCTGAAGTGAGGAGAAGCGGCCGTTTTGATACACCTATGGTTTTTCAATGCTTCACCGTATAAAAACAAAAACCAAAAAAAAAAATGAAGAATCAAACAAAAGGGTTTTACTAGGGTTTATTCGTTGTCTGATAGTGGAAAGGATGGTAATTATGAGTCGTGAATGATTAGAAGAAGAGCGGAGCAGCACACGCCATGTATGCACACAAAATGGGAGGACCCAACGACAGTAGTCATAAAAGGGTTTAAGACGACCAAACGCAGATTACGCAGCAAGTTTAAAAGATAAAAGAAAATATGTTTTTATAAAATGACATTTTTTAAAGTTAATTGGATAGTTATTGAACTTTTTTAATTCGAATTTGATTTTTACAATTGACGAATTTCCTTATGGGTCAGCTCCCGTGCCTTTTGGAGTGAACATGAATTAGTCGAGTGAACCCGAACAACTATATCATGGGTCCATGTATAAGATATAGTATAGTGAAGTTATCAACAAAAAAGAAAAATACTTGTGTTGTGTGCTTTGCAAAGAAACATATAATTTTATAAAATACATGAATTTTAAGAGAATTACAGTCTCGAGTTTCCTAATCAAACTAGAGAACTTGAACTTTATTTGGAAAAAGACCTACACTATCACATTCACACCTCATAGTCCTTGTAAAATTACATTTAATCGAAACTTTTATGAATTTTAAAAAATTATAAAAGTTTAATATTATTCAATCCATACAAAAAGCCTTAACAAATTGGAGCCTATATAAATTTGAGTTTGTTTTGACTTGTTTGCACCCCTATACCAAACACACTTCAAACTTCAACCAATGAGTCCACTTCAAGTCTTCAGCCAGCATCATCATAATAATAATCACTTTACACCTTGAAATTGTTTAGTTAGTTTGAAAAAAAAAAAAAACTATTTAAGATGAATAACTGATCAACTAACTGAACACAAAAAATGCCAAAATCCAAACATTACAAGTACTTTCTAGCATGGTTGAAAAAATTGCTAGGTGATCCTCGAACGCTCGGGGACATCTAGGCGTCGATTAATCTGCACCTAATTAAGATATACTATTATAAAATACTAGTTTGTTACAAAAACACTATTCAAAACACTGCTAGTCTTTTTCTCTAACTTCAGCAGGCTCACTGCTTTCAAGTTTATCAACATTACTTTCACTCCTTCCCGGAGGCAATGACTTGGCTGCTCCTTCTTCTTCCTGGCCACCCTCGTCCCCCGCTTTCCTGCTCCCCGACAAGAACTCCAGAGCGGTGACCACATTGCTGATGTACGGCCGTGTTTCTGCTTCCCCTTGTAGACACATTGCTGCAATTGCAAGAGCCTGATACAGTCCCTTTGTTGGGTAGTTCCCTTCCAGCAATGGATCCACCATTAAGTGAAATTTCTGTTTGTCTTTGAACAATGGTTGAGCCTGCAAATTGTTGAGCATGTAGCCATTAATGTACAATCCAACTACCAGCTTAGGCTTTTAGTTGAGATGGAGCACATGCTTCAATTTGGTATCAGAGCCAGACCAAAGGTCATGGGTTCGAAGGGCTTTTAGTTCAGATGGAGCACATGCTTCAATTCAAATATTTATAGAGTTGCAGAGATTTCTTGGAGTATAAATATATATATAGTAATGGATTCTTGAAACATACCCACAAGACCAAGTTCTGTTCTCCACTTGGTCTAGCCTTATCGATGACTCTTCTTCCAGAGATCATCTCCAAGAACACGACCCCAAAGCTGTAAACATCGGACTTGGTGGAAAGCTGACCAGTGGAGGCATATTCGGGGGCGCAATAGCCATAGGTACCCATGACCTTGTTGGAGACATGGATTTGATCATCGGTTGGACCTAGCTTGGCTAATCCAAAATCGGAAAGCTTAGCATCAAAGTTTTTGCCTAGAAGTACATTGGAGGCTTTGAAGTCGCGGTAAATGACTGGAGGATTGGCTGTTTCGTGGAGGTATTCGAGCCCTCTTGCTGCTCCCTCAGCTATTTTCATCCTCATTTTCCAATCTAGATGCGGTTTACCAGGTTTTAGGTCTGAAACACATAAGCTTTATGGTTCAGATATGTTCACTAAACACTATAGTCCTGAAAATGAAGGTAAGATTAAATTAAATACCAAGAAGATGATCTTCGAGGCAGCCATTTTCCATGAATTCGTATACTAATATGCGTTGTTCACCATCACAGCAGTATCCAATCAAGTTTACGAGGTTCGGGTGGTGAAGAAGACTCAGCAGTAGAACTTCCACAAGGAACTCCCTATTTCCCTGAAAACCATTTCTGTCAAGCTGTTTAACTGCAACATCCTGAATGACATCAAAATGCAGAAAAACAAAACAAAACAGGTTAATAATGTCCCTGACAACATTTTCAATCCAAGGATGAATTAATGAAGAGGATTGTGAGGGTACAATATTTTTGGTTTCTAGGTGGCCTTTGTACACCTTGCCAAAACCTCCTTCACCAAGCAAGCAATCAGGGTTAAACTTTTGGGTTGTGTCATTCAATTCCTCGAACGTATAAGACTGGGCTGGCATATTCCCTTCTCCATATTTCCCTACTTCTTCAGCTATATACCTTCTCCTGCTGCCATCTGCATTCATTGCCATTCAAAAGAATGGCTTCAATTGGCATTACAGAAATGATGATTTTCTTTCTTGGATTCATCACAAGTTTCTGTTGAAATAATGCAGTGCAAAAGATAACGAGAATTACCAGATTTTAAAGAAATATTGGCAAATGAAGCCAGGGTTACGCTTTTGAAATGCTTAATGCTGCCCACTCTCAACGAGTTTTGATGATCGGTTTTGTCCTCTCCCGTGCAACAAGGGAAGCAAGCCAACATTTTTTTCAGTGTTCTTCCAGATGCAGCATTGGGCAAAACATGTGTTTATAATCTCTGGGAATGCTCAGTAGATGTCCTTATTTATGGAAATCCACTCATATGACAATAAGAACATCATTACAATCTCAGATTCCTGTCAAGACACATCAACACCTCAGACCCATTCTAGTTTTTGTTTTTTTCTAGTATTCCAGGATTTGGAAGCAAATGAAAGTGTTTCCAGAATATATGTTTTGCTTCCTCTCCCTCACACAGAATTTCTGTATGGACTTTTGACATTGTCAATTTTTCTTCTTCTTTTCTTTTTCTTCCCAAAAAAAAATAAAAAAATAAGGAGAATAAAAGAACATTGTTTAGCCAGTGAAAATAGAATTCTTTCATGGTCCAAGTGTACAATCCTGTATGCTACATAAATAGGGGTCCAGCAGATTCTGTGGATCACCCCATGTTTTACTTTCCTACACACATCTTTCAATATTATTGTTGTTCCAAAAGGTTGAATTCTCAACCCTAAGGGTCTCCTGGTCCAACAAAGCATCTGGGAGGATGTAAACCATGGTAACTCAGATGAACACAGAGGCTAGACATTTTCTTACTGCGCACAAAGAGCCCCCCATATTTTCCTTTCCTACACACATCTTCCCCCACGTCCCAGCCCGACAGAATATCTGGGAGGATGTAAATCATGGTAACTTAGCTGAACACAAAAGCTAGACCTTTACTTACTGTCTGCACAAGGAGCCCCCCTCACTTTGAGAGGTTATTCCCACACTGCCGTGAGACTCAATCTCAAATCATTGTTCCCAAACTTCACCCCTGTGATCAACTGAGCATCTTTCTATATTATGCTTTATGCAATGAAGGAGCCTTCCATTCAATACGTTTGGAGCCAAAGAAAATATTTCATTTCTGTCATTGCTGAATGCAGAATCAAATTAATTCTTTTTTTTTTTTATCAAGAAAAATTAAAACAGAAGGGCAGGCTCAATACCAACTGACAGGTTCTTGATTTGCTATCAGTTTCATCAAATCCAATTATGGCCAATGGACATAGATTATCAGTTTATCACCAGAACCACAAGCCCTCTTTCCACAAATTACAGCTAAATGCAGAATACATATCACAGAACAGTGATCAGAAAACCCAACTACTCAGTACTCACAAATTACTCTTTTTTTTTAAAGTGACTAGAGAAACCCGCAGCCACTACCTGTGGGTGTTCATTAGGTAAACCTCGCCTTGTGGCCCTAGCTGGCAAAGTAGCACGAGGAGGTAAATCAGCCTAGAATGTCCATAGCTGACCGGCTCAAACCAAGAAATCGTTCCCGGTAGAAGTCAACCTTGTAACCTTGTAGCTACCAAGTTAACCACAAATTACTTTTTTGTCCTGACATTTAAAGGATTGTTGAAAGAAAAATATAACCCAATACAGTACAGCTGGAAATATAATCAAATTAAAAGTTAATGACTAAATATGAAACTTGCCAACTACTACGTAGTGTGATGATACCTCTGTTACCATTCCAACTGGGTGGTCACAGGATTGAACCTTGGGACTCTGGGAGTGGGGACATTGAGAAAGTATAGAATATATACTACCTTGTAAAGAATCATGAATGTTTCAAAAAAAAATAAATGAAACTACTAGCATACTAAAAGTGAAATTAACTTTTCTTCATATGTGGGGGAGATACTGAACTCTTCCATTTCTTCCAATATAGTTTAGTTATCTTTAAACAAGTTCTCCATGGTGGAGATGGAGGAGCAACATATTTTGTTCACTAACTTTGCAACATCTTCACTAGTATGTATTAGAAATTTTAAGCAAAAAGGGAAGAATAAGCATCAAGTTTATACTATCACTATTGACCATTCATCTTCAAATACCCACACTCACAATTTGAGTGCTAGAATGAGAAGAGAAAGTATAGTTAGATGGAAGCACCATTGCTTCAATATGAGTTTCAGATCCTATTGTCACTAGTTATATTAGGTATGCTTGTTTTTTAGCCAAGCTATTAACTTCTCAAGCCTGGAAATTCTAGCTTCAATTTCATCTGGTCCTGGAATCTTACTTCCATATAGGCAATCCCTTTGCTCTTCTTTTGTCAATCTCAAGTCTTCTTCCATTTCTGCCTCTGCAGATTCATGGTGTTTGTCAACAGCTACTAATCTGGGCCTCGGAGGAAACCCGGGAGGACCATCAGAAGATAGCAAGTTCTCCTGATTCGTTTTCTGTATTTTACAATCCTGCAATACCACAGAAGAGTTATCGTTGTCATTTGGAAATGCAAGATCATTATACTCCATTTTTACCGGATAATGTTCGAGATGAAATCCAGCATGCCCATCAAAACAAGATGAAATTTTCCCTTCTAAAACATTGGTTTTGGGAGGAAAACCTGGTGGAACATCAAGCCCATTTTCTACTTTCTCATTAACAACATTACTGTTGCCTTTTCTCTCTTGTTTGGAGTTTTTCAGACATCTTTTTGCTTCCCTTGAGCTTCTTCTACCTTGCAACATTCCCTGATTAGCATCAAATGGAAGCAACAACATAGATTTCCTCCACCATTCCAAATACCTTGCTGTTACATCAGATTCCAGCAATCTCGGTGGGATATTCACCATCCCAATTGGCCTGCTATATTCACACCAAGAAACTTCAGCAGATTTAATATTCGAACGAGGGATCCATTCGGGAATGTCTTGATCGAACCCAAACTGCATAGCTACCCGGTTGGGGCGATATGGTTCATTGCAATCTATCCCAACAAGGTGAGACACCCTCAAGCAGTACATAAAAGACTTCAGTTCTTCACTCAAATCCTCCCCAAACTGTTCTTTTTCCTTGTAGAACTTGGGGATTTTCCAATTTTCTACAGCCAATACATATGGCCTCCACAGAAATGTCTCTACAGCAGAGTCAATACTTGTCCTCACATTCATACTATTACTAAACCCTTTTAGATTATGCCATCTAGATAATCTCACCTCTCCTGGTTCAATGCAATTTGGGGGTGGCCTCAATGGAATTATCCTCTCCCAACCCCAAATTTGAACAAACTGCAAGGGTGCCCCAAGTGTGAGTGCGAAAGCGTCACACTCACAATTTTCTCCACCCTTCATCGGATCAGATGAAGAAATCATTTCCATTGTTTCTCTCAAAGAACTCATGTCCCTATATATGCTACCCATAACAGCTGGAGCAAGTGCAATCCTGATGCCTCGAGCTAGCATAACCGCCGCAGGGAAAACATGTTTGTCAATCTTGTCGAGATTATTGCCCGGAAAAACAAACCTTGAAAGCCAGAGTGATAGGAACGCCTCGTGCTCGATATTGCTCTCACTCCCCATGAAAAGTTTCAGCCACTTGGCGTGATTATCAAGCTTCAATCTTTCCATGTCGTGTCGTGATCTTTCGAGGCTCTTTTGGGTCTCTTTCAAGTCAGGTTCTTGAAGAGTGAGTGATGTTACAGGGCCGCCCAGAACAGAGAAGCCTCCAAGAACCATTATGTCTTCTAGAGTGATGGTGGCTTCGCCCCAGGCGAACATAAACGTGTTAGTCTCGGAACACCACCTCTCCGCTAGCCCCAAAACCAGTTTATCGTTTCTGTGGATTTTATACACAGAACACGTGATGGCTTCTTCGATCCCAGCTGATCTCCAGACGGAGAGGTGTTTGGCGCGCATGGCGGTGACCCATTTCTTCCACAACTTTGGCGGACCCTTCCACCCACAGAATTCCACCTCAAGAGGCCACTCTGCTTCGGACGAGAACGGCAATGAAGGGAGCTTTGGCCTCTGGCCTTCAATGGCGGAAGCCGTGGGTTTCAGAAACCGGGCAGCTCTGAGGATTGGCGAACCACCTGTGGGTGATACCATTAACTCCTCTCTCTCCTCAAAGATGGAGTCTTTGGATGACCCTTCCTCCATTGTTTGCTGTTCCAGGGTAGCTCTTCTTTCTTGCTAGAAGTAAGAAAGAATAGCTAATCTTGGGCACAAAGTTTCCTTTCTTTCTTACTAGAAGTACATGTACGGATGTACCTCACTTTTATCTTTTACTCCATTAATGGAGTGTGTGGTTAGACCATGTTGTTTTGTATCCTTGCAATTTCTGGCATTGCAGTATAATATGGTTGGCTAAGTGGACTTTTATATTCACATAGTTTCTTCAAGTTTTCAAAATAAGAAAGAATTACAAATATTATTATGCTTTAACTTCAACGGTTGATCTATTTAAATAGATAATTTATTAGTTATAACTTTTTACCTGATAATCTGTTCTCACATGAATAATATATATACATATAGTGAGAGAGTTACTATCATATGAAAATCATCCTTCTCGCGAACTACTGAACGAATGCACTGCAACTATTACAGGAATGCACTACAACTTTAGGAAAGACGAAGTTGGAGTAGTTGTAGATACATATATAGAGAGAGTTGCTATCATATGAAAACCATCCTTCCCGTCAGTGCAAACTAATAAATGAATGTACAACAACTATTTCACGAATGCACTACAACTTTAGGACATACGAAGTTGGAGTAGTTGTATGAATGTACAACAACTATTTCACGAATGCACTGCAACTTTAGGACATACGAAGTTGGAGTAGTTGTAATTCTTTCCGTTCGCACCTGATAGCGAGCTTATATATATAAATTTAAATTCCCGCGAGTTAAAATAGATACAAAATGGATACAAATATTATTTTACTTTCTGTCTAAACCACAAAGACGTTGACAAGTAATTTTAGAATTATTTGAGTTTGAATTCAAGAAAAAGCATAGCGGGTGGCCGTTGCAACTCTATAGGCTCATCATTTTCATTAAATTGCACGACCTATGAAGGACTATAGTTCTCTTTTCATTTTCGGTCTTTTGTTCTTTTTTTCAAGGAATTTGGAGCCGTACATTCGTACCAATCCGGACTTGCTAGCAGAGTGTGAGAAGAACATGCTAAAAGAACACCGCAACTTTTTCTGTTCTATTGGCATACAAATAATATGTCCATCATTATATTCCATACAAGGTAGGTTAAGATCATGTTAATGTATTAAAAATAAAGATATTTATTTAATTAAATAATATAATTGATCATTGAACGTTTAAAAAAAAAAATTATAATAATCTTCATGCTCAACTCATCTTCAGTATTGCCACTCAAGCCAACAAACCTTGCTCACAGAGCTTTAAGGAACAACTGTACAAGGAAAAAAACAAGCATGTCAATACCGAACTAAAAAGAAAGAAAAGAAAGAACATATAAACACAATAATATAAACACAATCATATAAGAGAAAAGAAAGAACATAATTCCAATAAACAATGCCAAATAATGACAACACATTTCTCCTACAAGTGTGGAGATTTGTTGAGATGCAGTCCTTGGTTTCCAGATCAGTTTCAGTGCTTTCTTGCTTATACACACATAATTTGTCTCCTTCACTCATTCCCTGTTTTTCTTCCCATTTTTTCCTTCATTGTTAATGCTATAACAGATTGTACAAGGTTATGGAAACTCAAAAGACTTTCAAATTTGAAAAATATTCAGTAAACATGGCCTCATCTTTCTTTTTTTAGGAGCAAACAGACCAGGAATTACAAGCAAGTAAACTGTTACTACTCTATAAGGACCTATTCAAGAGATATAAAGAATAGCCTTACATTGTGTGTTCCCATATTTAAACTTGTTTCTTTTATAACCAAGTTTTCCGGTTTTGCCGAACTATATCTTGAATTACATGAACACACCCCAAGCCTATGAGAAGGTAAATCAGATCAATATAGCTTCAAGATTAAACACCAAAATGTACCCAAACCCAACCCCCAATGTTTGTGGCGAAGCAAGTCTTGAGTGAGCATTCTCATTTACTAGATCAATGCCCTGGGCAGATTTAAACATTATTAATAAGGTGGAAGCCACCAAGACCACTCCTGAGTTCTGTCCTCCCTACACTTCTGACATCACTTATAGCATGCACTGCTAGACTATATCCATTGAGATAAATATCAACAGATCTTATATGAACAGCTTGTTGAAATGGAAAGAGTCAAAGAGAGTAGCACATTTACAAACTAGTATACAAGAAAGCTTACACAAAGACAGCCAACAAAGTCTACAGATACCTACCAGCATTGTTGGAGTAAGTTTTGTGGTACATCTCAGGATTGGAACCCAAATCTAGATTTGAAAATATGAGCAAATCAAGGCAACGAAACTGATAAATCAAACTTATCTTCATAATACAGTCTCAAGTGAACAGAAAGAACACGATGCTCGAAAGGACAAATAAATCACTCAGAACCAAGCTCTCATCAACAGTGTATCAGTCCACTTTTATGAAAGAAATAAAGAACATACACACGAGTCCAAATTCAACGGCTGAATGTTCGTTCTTTTATAATCAAGAACTAAGCAGATTATATATGATACAAACAAAGCAATAAAGTTCTGCTAATATAAGCTTCAAAAAGAGTAAATTAAACTTCATTGTAGACTAATTAGTTTCAATGACCAACACTTCAAAAAGTTCAGCACAATCTTGACAGGAATCATAAAATGGCAGAATTCACAGTAGCAATTTTAAAGAAAAACAAATCCCTCAGGTACTTCATTTCTCATCAATAATGATCAGGCTACTTTTAACGTCAAAATGTACTGAGAAATTCATCATAGGGATGAAGGGAAATAAATGGTTAAACGAATACTTCAAAAACACATAACTACATTTAAGCGTTTCTGAATGAAAAGAAGAGCTAAAACGAACCCCTCAGAGTTTAAATTTATCCTCAATGCATAATATTCAGTCCACTACTTTTAACATTGATTGAAAACATTCTTCATAGGGGCGGACGGTGACTAGTAAAATTAGATTTCGGATCCATAATATGCCCAAAGAAATCAACTTCTAAAGCACGATAAACAAATTGATTCAGAGTATAACAATACTCAGTAACCAAATCTATTCTAGAAATGACTAAACGAGAGCACAAACAGAAGAAAAAAAAAATTGCAGCAAACGGAGAGCAGATTTATGCAATAAAGCGAAACGATGTGCAAATAAATAGCAAGGCACCGGTTAATCAACGAAGAGGGTGGCCGACGGCGTTCCCCGTAGTGTTGGATTTGTTAGGGTTAGAAGCTTAAATATATAGTAGGGGTGACTGCGGTCTGCGGTACAATTATCTTCTTGCAAAGATTATTCCGACCGGATAAAGCATTTGAGAAAATGTAAATTACCATAATTCAATGGTTTAACAAACAAGACTAAATATTGGTGGGTACAGTAAATTTATTCACTTTAAATATAATTTCTACACTGTTATTGTCGAAGTTCAAATATTAGTCTTTTCTTTTAAATATTATTTACTAAATTAGTGAGTTAAACTCATGCAAATAAAACGATACAATTATTGGTTTGGATACAAAGAATTTATCGGAGTACTTAGAAATTTTATTCGCCAATGACTCGATGAACCAACGATTCTTAATTAACCAATAATTCAATTAGCCCATTTTCAATTGCGAGCCTGAATATGGTGATGATTGTTTATGTTTTGAGATATGGCAATAAATGTGCTAATAGGCTTGCCGGGGGGTTGTTAATGGATCTATACCTGCTAAATTGCTTAAGGGAACTCTTTCAAGCAGACGCATGCAACGTCATTTCGCATAAAATCACATACATGTCCCCTTTGTTGCACCCAAATAAAAGGTAGATGAACTTCATACAATAAAACTTTCACAAAATGTTCAAATTTTATTGAAGAAAAAAAAAAAGAGTGAATAAAAATAATGACTCACCCCTTATATTAAATATAATTAAGGCATAACACATTATATGGAACTAAGAATGTGAGTAGAAAATTAAAGTACATGTAAGATTACTCGTTAAAGAAATCGAAATAGATATTACAACAATTTTGAAGTGTGGACCAATATATGTTTGATACTAGATCAAAATAAATGATAAGATTTTAGTTTACATCGTATACAGATACTATATGGTCAATATTAGTGCTTCTGGTAACTTGTACAGTTGTACCATTCAAACAGGAAAATATTATTCTTACTCCCAATTTTTACTCGCTCTCTCAAAATTTGAATGTTGAAATGCACATACATATATAGCATGCACTACCACCACCACCAGCAAGAAAAATAATGACAAAAAAACTCTAGTTGATTCACAAACTTGACTAGTGCATGAACACATCATTAGATGCAAATCATAATGCATTGATGCACAAGTATGGGTTTATTGTCATATTTGATTCTACCAACTAAATTTACAATTACTTATTAAAAAAGTGTAATTTTTCTCTGTCAAGATTGTTAAAAGGGAAAATTTTAGTAATAGAATTATGTATTTAGATTTGAATGAAATATTTTTCTCTTGTAGCAATTTTGTTATATTTTTAACGAGTAATAATTACTAGAGATTTGATTGGTCGGATCAAATGTGACAATAAAAATATATTTATGTATTAAACGTAATAAAATTAATAATTAAAGACTAAATGTAGGAAGTGGATAATAGTTGAGGACCCAAAATAACAATAGCTTTGTCGGCAATGGGAGTCGTCATTCCCTTGGCCAGGTGTCACATAAAGGCCAGAGAAATACGAAAGCTGTGAAGCAGACTGGGGAACTAGAATGGAGTGGAATCGGAGGAAACTTTTCACTATAATCTATCTCAATTTAACTCTAATTCTCTTGATAAGAAGCGCGAGAGCTTGGACCGGCGAAATCCATGGCAGAGTCGTTTGTGATGTCTGCGGCGATTCTACTGTTGGCCCTGAAGACCATGTTTTGGAAGGTAATCTTCCTTACCGTTCCATCTCTGTTGCTTCTTTTCTCTCTTTTCAGATTCTTCTTCATTTTGATGCTAATTTGTTTCAAGCTTCAGTAGATAGAACGGGTTGGAACTCAATATAGAGAATTCCGGCATTAGATTTTGAGATTTTCCTTTAATCTCGTTCCATTTTTTCTGCAGTACTTTGTGATGTTCATGGTTTGATGCTATTTGATAGGTTTCGAGTTCAAATGTTTATTGGAATTTCTGTATTTGAGAGAAATTTCTTTGTTTTCGTTTGTTAAGTCTATTGAAGTGTTGACCTTTTTCAGAATTTTGAGTATTGTTGAGGTGAAAAGTCAATTTTTTTTGGTTGATTTTGTGAAAGTTCAGTATTTGGTTAATTACATGGCTAGTTATTTCCCTATTGTATTGCACCTTGTTAATTATGTGGTAAATTTTACTTGATTATGCAAAGTCTCTGCTGTAAAATGATATGGAGTATGATGGTAATATTAGGGTATAAATGTAAACTGGAAGCTGGTTTTCCATCTGTTATGCTGAAGATGTGAAGCTTGAGTTAGAGTTTCAGACATTTTCCATTGCTTTTATGAAATGTAAGCAATATTTGGGTTTACGTCTTGCATTAAGGGGAAGGAGAAGAATCTTTAATTGAATTCACCCGCGAAATAAGCTGGTTCTGTAGGCAAAACCAATCAACAACTAAAACCAATTGAATGTGCAAGGATGCTGTACTGTAGCAGATCAAATTCTTCTTTGGACAGTTTGTGTTTGTAAAGCAGTTGACAGTGTAATTTTGATTTCTAGCAATTATCTGACTTCGATTGAAACAATTTCTTCTAAGAATCTGGGTTTCCACTATTAGCCGCTTTGTAGGCAAAATGTTTGGTTACTAACTTACCCAACTCCCTTTCAAGATAAGTACTCATGTGAGGATATACAGTTCCATAGTTCTGCTGGTGGTTCGTTTTCTCTAATAGCTATTCCTAGAAACCGTACTTTTAGTTCATCGTGAACAGATGGTGTGATACATATTGATGTTTGTATTATATGATGGTATTAAATCTGGCCATCAGATCCATCTGTTGGAAATTCTATCCTTCTGCATAGAAGTCGTATAGAATCATGTCGTTTTTAGTCCAAGTTTTAATCACCCCGCTTCATAGAGCATACAATACTTGTCTATATTAGAATAGAATATTTACTCAAAACTGCGGAGAAACTTTATTTGAGCGCAACCTGGTTCTTCTCATTTTCTGGTTGCAGGAGCAGAGGTTGCCGTTCTTTGCATAACAAAGTCCGGGGAAGTTCTAAACTATCAGGCGTTCACAAACTCCAACGGGATATATACAGTAGCGGAGACTATGCCAGAGAGTGATCGCTGGGATGCATGCCTAGCTCGACCCATAAGCAGCTTCCATGAACAATGCACACACCTGAGAGATGGCAGTTCGGGCGTTAAGTTCAGCTACAATCACAAATCAGGCTATTCACATACTGTCAAACCGTTTGTTTATCATCCCGCCATCCTCCCAACCTACTGCATATGATGAGTGCAATTTCCTTGGTGGGTGGTTTTGGGAAAATGGGGATTTTTGGGTTGTGATGGAAACTGTAAATTTGTGGTAATGCTCACCCTATAATATATGCCAGTCATTTTGGTATGCATAAGTATTTATAAGTATACTTTTCTTTGTACATTTGAAATCGAATTTGGCCAGGTCAGGTAAAGTGTAATATTACATTTATTTTTTGGTAGGACCATTATTATTTTTTGATTGAAATGCTTTGATTAATTAGCTATCAAATAAAGCAGGGAAGATGAATCAAAACACGCAAGCGATGGTATGCCTTGTATCCCATTCTTGTTCAAGGATGAATAGATTATAGTTTGGAGGGATGGAGATGATAGAAGTTTAAGTATGATCAGCAGAACTTATAACATGCATATATCAAGCCCTTGTCAACTCTACACATATATGTCCAGGGGGGCGTATAGTATTCAATCTTAGATTGACTTATATGATAGTTTGTACAGTGATTTTTTTGTGAGGCTGTCTCATGGATTTTTATATTATTGGTAAAAAGTTTAATATTAATATTAATATTTATTGTGAGACTTAATCATGATTGAATGATGATTAGTCGCGAGGGAAAGTGTAATAGGAAGAAATGTGATATTTTTGAGAAAAAAAATGTAAATATTTTTAAGATCCGCTTACAAACACAGGTTATTAATGGAAATGAAGTTAACGAAAAATGTCTTTTGAGTGGTGTTAAATGGGCAAGTTGACTTGTCATTGGTTTGGTTATTATTATTATTTAAATGGAGCATTATTGTATCATCGGTTTGGTTATTATTATTTAAAATGGAACATTATTGTATCGATTATAAATAAAAAAAAATTATTTGTATACAAGTACATTATTTGAGTATTAAAAGTATATTATTTTGTATACTATTAAATAATGTACTTTTTTCATTTCAAAAAACAAATAATATACTTTTTGTATATTCATTAGAAAAATACATTATTTAAGTACTAAAATACATTAGTTTGTATGTTGTACATTCAGTACACAAATACTATATTTTTAGTATATTAAAATGTATTTTTTTATAGTCTGTTTTGGGTAGCATTAGAGAGCGTATATAGCGGCGACAAGGGATGACAATTTCAATCCGCCCAGCAGTTATCCACCCGAATCCACCCCGCAAGGATCGAGTTTTTTTTGGGTGATGGTGGGTGGTAGGTCGGTGGTGGGTCTTAAAAAAGTAAACTCGCAGTGGGTCGGGTTGGGTCGGGTTCTATGTACAAAACCCGCCTAGAACCTCACCCGACTCACCATGTGTGTGTGTCTATATATATAGTAGTAAAATAAGTACTAGTATGTAGTTATTTATAAAAGGTTATATAACTTTGTGTATCTTTTTACTATTTTTATATCTAAACTATTAAGTTTATTTTTAAAACTTAACAATTTAGTTATTATATTTAAATATTTATATTCTTTTATATTTTAGTACCACTAATGAATTTTATTATTTTATTATATGTAAGTAACTTAAATCTTATTTTTTAAAAAATAATAATAATAAAATGATAAGTGATGGTACCCGTAGTGGGCACCCGCACCCCGTTGCGGTGGGGTGAGTTTTGAAAAAGTTCACCGGATTTGGGTTGGGGGTAGGGGTGGGTAGAGAAAATATAAAGTGGGTCGAGTGATGGATGTAGCCCTCCCCGACTCACACCCGACCCATTGTCATCCCTAGCGACAACAGCAACATTACCCTCAACAACGGTAGAACTGTAGAAGAGTTCCGATAGTAATAAGCCCTCCGAATAGAGGTGATGATTAGTAGATCTCTACATATCCATATTGTAGCAACTATTGAGTATACTACCCTAGCTTATGGACTCAACATACGACTATAACTCGTCAGCACCAGTATTGCGTGTGGCCTAGGAATGGTGGGTTTCCTGAAGATGGAAATAGAAGTCAAATCGACAGTACTTTTTTGTATTTCTTTTACGTGTTCAATATATTTCTTATATCTTTTGTAGCTGAAAAGTCATAAAAATGTTAATTGAGTACAAAGTGTTTTGCATCTAAAAATCTTAATTAACCAAATTTATCTTGAAAATTACTCTTAACATTTTTATAAGTAGTAATCTTCTAACAATTTTAAGACCCTAATTGTTTATTATTATCCATATCATTATATTAAAATACTTAAATTTGGAATGTAACTAATAACTTATCCATTTATTTATATGAATTTTATAAAACATAAATATATAGATTGAAGACACTTGATAAAATTGAATAAAAATGATAAATTTATCAAAATATTTGTAATTGTCATAATATTCAAAATATTTTATAATAATCTAAAAATTTAAATTTCAAAATATTTTATAATAATCTAAAAATATTTTATAATAATCTTAAAATATATAGATTGAAGACACTTGATCGATGCTTCTCTTAGCTTGTTGCCACTTTTGCAATAAATGAATTCTTGATTTGATCTAATCTCTTGTGTGCTTCACTGTAATTTTAGTGCCTTTACGCAATACACCTTCAAAAACATAATCAAATCCCCATTCTCCAAAAAAAAAAAAAACAATAGTTATAGTCTTATAAACTAGTTTCTTGAATATATAACAGTCTCAGACCAATACGATTATATCCATATCCACATTATGATAATCCTAAAAAAATTTCAAAAGTTTGTGATGGATATATTAGCAATGAACTTGGGGCGAACCGACTTGGAGAGGAGTTGGCGCGGCATGAAGGGCCAAGGGGGGCCCCGGCATAGGTCGACCTCGGTCAAGGTCGACCCCGGCTAGAGGTCGGCGTCGACCCCAGTTAGAGGCGGATGCCCCCCTCGTGGGCTTGAGGTCGACCTTCGGCTCGGGCTACTCTCCTTCGTTGACGAAGACTCACAACTCGGAGAGTGGGGGACTGATGATGGATATATTAGCAATGGGCTCAGGGCGAACCGACCCGGAGAGGAGTTGGCGCGGCATGAGGGGCCCCGGCACGGGTCGACCCTGACTAGAGGTCGGCGTCGACCCCAGTTGGGGTCGACCTCGGTCTCAGTCCGACCCTGGTAGGGGGCCGACCTCAGCCAGGGCGACCACGACCCGGGGCCAGTGGCGAAATGTAGCCCCGGTGGAGGCGTCCTAGGCCTCAGGTGTGCAAGTGGACCCAGTCAAAGGTGATCCAACCGCCCACCCTATTCTCAAGAGGCAGGAGCTTAGTATATAAGGAGGCATCATTGTCTTGTTTAGGACATCTACTACTACCTTGTCTGAATACTATATATTCCTTGTAATTCTCCTACAAAAGGATTATCAATACAAAAGTTGTTCCCGCGACAAACATTTATCACCTTTATTATTGCATTATCCTAGTCTTGTTATTATTGGGTTTAGTAATTCGGGCCACCCCGGGTTAATTAAATCCATCAGTTTGCATTCTACATTTCTTTTGTTTTTATTTTCCCCTAAAACTAATTAATTTACTCATATACCATGACCAATAGGGGTAACAGTGCAACGAGGCCTCCTCCTTCGATCCATCTTATGGCTGTGCTCCTCCGCCTCCTCCATCGTATGGTGGTGCTCTTCCTCCACCTCCTCCGTCTTATGGTGGTGTGGTGATTATGCCTACGGCTACACCCACTGAAGAAGAAAGCAGAAATGGGAAGTATGAAGTATGAAGTAGAAATGCGAGACTAATTTAATGCCCAATATTTGTATTTAAATAAGTTATTCAAAGTATATCAATGTAAGATTATATAAGATAAGTTTATTATAGTTGGTATTAAAATTAATGTTTAATTTACACTTTTCTAAAACAATTATCTAAATACTTATTGCAGTTGATATGATATTAGGTAGTAGATATATGTGGCTATTTAAGAGAATAATTAATAATAATTAAAGGTAAGATAGAAAAATCATTAAAAAAAATTAACCAGAAATAATATGAAACATAAAATAATTTATGAATTCTAATGTTCACGAACCAAAAAATGTAATGAAACTCATATTCTATTTCTTTCTTATTTCATTCCCTATATAATAAGATTTGTATTCACTCAAACTTAATTCTAAAATCAAATACGCGATAATTATCTTAACTCTTAAGAATCAAACACTATGTAACGTAACATAGAGAGGGTGAAATGAGCACAAAATATTACAATCAATATGGCAGTTGTATCTAATGAATTATTATATTGTATGTAAAAGTACAAATTGTATTTTTGAAGTGGATTTTAACAAAATAATAAGAACTGGTAGATCGAGAAAAATAGGTTTTCTTGATCCTCTTACTCCGAGTAAAGATGGCTACACATTTGCCTAGTCAAAAAGGGTAAGCCAACATTTAAACACCTCCCCCCCCCCCCCCCTCCCCCACCTTCCAAAAAAAAAAAAAACACTTTGTATTGGTTGCAGCATTGGAGTGGGTATTGGGTAAGAACAAGATACGATTTTATTTATAATTAATTCATATATATTTCATCAAATAATATTATTTTAATATAACACCATAAAGACTTATTTTCAATACCAGGAAATGGCATATCATAAAGACTTATTTTCAATACTAGAAAATGACATTTTTAGTTTAAAGTTGAATGGGACACCCCAAATGAGTTAATAAAACAATTGACTTGATAACTACAAAGTTTAAAACTTAGTTCTTTGTGGGAATTGTCTTTCTCAGATGATTTACCTCCTTATGGTCCTTTACCGATAACAAGGCAAGTTTCACCTAGAGCGTCGCAACAAACTTTCTTGTAAATCTACTATACTAATAAGAGCCCAAGAGAGTTATGCCTATAATGTGTAGAAAAAATGGCGGTCAAATTTTTTAATCAAATGAATGGCTCAGATTGATCATATTTTAATTTTTCCTTAAAGTTTCCTAATTTATCCTTATGAATATGATTATCCGTTAAATATTATCTTTTCGGTTAATTACTGTTAGTTCACCGTTAACTTAATTACTCATTGATTTCAATAAGAAAGGTCTTATGTTCGAACCCCATCCCAATCAAAGTTGGCATAATTAGTAATCTATTTTACTCTTATTAAATTAAATAATAATTTAGTAGCTACAACAAAAAATAATACATATGCATTTCTTTAATTTAGAATTATGTGTCTACAATGTTTTTATTCAAAAAAATATTTATTATCAATAAATTAAATAAGAGAAATAATTTCATTAGTTATATTGTCTTTATTTTTTTAAAATATAA